ATTGATTGGATTATATTAAAACATCGCAATTATTGATTAACAACAATTTTTTTATCCCTTTTATAGCAATTTTCTGAATGATTTAATCACTGTATTTTTAATTAATTCAGTAAGCATATCAAGTAATAAAATATGGACCGTTTTGCAGCAATGTGATACAATCCATTGCCATGTGGATCAGAAACTTTTGTCTCAGCACCCATACATATCAGTGCTGCTGTAGCAGTCCACAGACCCAAATCAACTGCTATCATTAACGGTGTTTGACCATCGATGACAGCATTTTTCTGGTTTGCATCAAACATTTTTATTCACTAATCTCCAAGACATTATTTAGTAGTGATGTGTTTTTATAATATTGTATACCATGCAAATATAATAAAATAAAAGTATGATCAAAAGTTTAAAAGCAAAATTTGTTACTGAATCCGGATCGTAATGAAGTGCAAGTCGAAATTTCTGGTCATCACCAGTTTCAGCCCAATATTTTAGTGCTTCCACAATATTGTTTGAATTTTGCTCTACTGCATTAGTACCAAATACTACTCGTGCTGGCGTACGGTTTATATTGACCAAATGTGTGGGAAGATTGCGATCACGCATTAAGAATGATAAGTTTTGACCTATTACATTATAGTTATAATACATTTTAAATAGTGATTGGAATACATATTCGTATTAATAAAATGACCATTTTAATTACTTGCCTGCATATATTGGTAAAATTACATCATTGGGATTTTGTGATTGCTTCCATATGACTGCTTCAGCATGTGGTAATCTTAATGAGAAGGTTTCTTCATCAATTACTCGAATTGACACCATAATTGCTTTGTTAAAATCCTGAATTTCGTTGTGCAAAGTGTGAGAAATTTTAGTTCAAAAAATATTAGAAAGAGTAATTCTCAAACGTAGCAATTTGAATAAAATTACAGTAAATAATAGCTTATGCGTCACTATATGGGTGAATTACTGGATAAGTAGTAAACCTTATCTCGGATCAAAATAGCACGATCACCATCCAACATGCAAATTGTTTGAGCTGAAAGTACCACTTTCGGATGCCAGGAGTAAGTTGCTTCCACTAGAGTATTTCGAATAGTTTCAGAGAACACTTTTTTATCTTTATGGGTTGAACTATTCGAAGAAATTGTCGTGGTAGCCTCTGCTGGTCCCCAGCTGAAGAAGGTGACTTGTACGGATTCCACCGTTATTTCTCTGATAATGCCAATTTTGCCAATATACTAAAACTAAATTATTAACCAATTTTGTACTTAGCATTAAGTAATTTTTAATTGATATAAAGTTTTAGGACAGAAATGAAAATTAAGAATATTGAAATCAAATGTTTATTTGCCGAATTTTAAGGAATTAATTAATTAATTAATAATATCCATTATAAATACCACAAATCTTTTAAACAGTCCAAAAAACCATTGCAAATCTAAGTTCTATTTATTGTTTTATTCATATTAAATTTTACCATAGCCATTCGTGGACTCCAAGTTAGCTTATTGTAACTGTTAAGACGTTCATAAAATGAGCAATCATAATTAGCGATTCTAACTCGATCACCCTGTTTCATTTCAAATACACTTTTTGATCTATTTCATATCATATCATATCATATCTGATGATCTAAAAAAAGATCAAATTGTCCTCGAAATTTTTATCATATACGCATTTTACGTCTATTAAAACAACTACATCGTATATCAATCAGTAAAAGCAATTCAATGACTGACTCCGTAAATTCTTGCAATACACTGCCAAATGAATTACTTATTCAGAAAGTATCAAATATTTGTAGTTAATTAACTATTAGCAAAGAAAATTATTGGTTTCTTATAATTTTCTCTGATTTCCCTAATACTATTCATTCAAGTCTATTAATAAACCGTTTGGTTTCAGACTAAACAAATAGAAGGCTAAATTAGAACTCATTTATTCATTTGTAAATTTATTGTAAATTCATTCTACCAAAGTCAGATACTCAAAAGTAATTCTCATAAAAGCTTTTTCACGACAAGCTGACAAAAATCACAAACTGTCAGTGAGGACTACAACATTTTAAGTGATTTTATTTTCCTTTGCTCATTATTGTAAAATGTCATACTTTTCTTACCACTGCCCAAGTGGCGAGGCGAGTGATACATAATGCTGACGATGCACAATTCTAAATTTACATAAAATAAAAGTTCAAAAAAAAAATGGAAAATTTGCATAAAATCACTTAAAAATCTCAGTGATATTCTTGAAAAATTTGCATAAAAAGAAGACTATAATACAGTCAATAACTACTGCAGTTGTTATTACCTTCCGCGAGGTCTGGTTGTTCTTGGTTGGGTTTTTTCTGGTTGGTTATTAATTTTGATTAAAATTACAAAGATTATTAGTTCGGTTGCAAATTCTTAGCTTTTATCAGCTTTTAAATCATGTTTTAGTAATCATAGCAATTTGCTACGATAAATCATAAATCTGCTTTGAAATGGAAATACCATTCAATGGTGATAGTGGATGGACGGATAGCAATGGAGCATTTGGTGTGGTAAGTGATTTCAGGCGATATTATAATCTGAAAAATACTGATTTTATCATTTTTATCTTAATTTTAAAGAGAGAAAGTCTTTGAAATTTTCAAAAAAGTTAAATTACTTGACTTTTTTGAAAATTTTTTATTGCAAATGACTACAACAAGTAGTGCGCAAGAATTTTGTTGATTCTTGTCTAGAAGCTTAGATCGATGTTATCTAAATGCATTGTTTTAATTCAAATCTCAAATGTATACTTTTGCGGCATTTTTTTCAAAATTGCTTGCAATAAAGTGCTAAAAAAGATAATATATGCAAGATGAAATGCGTGAAATATACTTAAAATTAGTATTCAGCAAAAATAATTACTCGGTTCAGGTAATAAAGGTTACTCGCAATTTATTAATTTCTTCGTTAATATGTAACCATCTGATAGTTTTTTCATGTTACCAACAGAGCAATTATTAAAATTATTCTGTTTTGTTGGTAACATGACAAAACTATCAAATGAATACAATGTTTTGAATAGGCATAATTCAGTGCTTACAAATTAAAATCAGTAAAGCTTAACAATTTACCACCGCAAAACCAACGAGGAACAGAACAGTATTTTGCAGAACAATTCATTGAGTTTTTGAATTTGAATCAAAAAAATCCAGAAATTTAATTTTATTGAAATCAAAGAATTTTTTATTAAAATCTTTCTTAAATTTTACATGAAATTGAATATTGTCGCCTAATTACCACAACTACCTTCAGTCATTCTTGTATTGCATTCTATATGCTGAATTTACCAAATTTAAATATGCAGAACTATTTTTACCAAATTTAAATATGCAAAATTATTTTTACCAAATTTGAATATGCAAAATTATGTGCAAAATTATTTTTACCAAATTTAAATATGCAAAATTATTTGCAAAATTATTTTTACCAAATTTAAATATGTAAAATTATTTTTACCAAATTTAAATATGCAAAATTATTTTTATAAGAATTACAAACTTCAATCATTATTGACAAAATTATATCACACTTGTTCACATAAATCAGCTCTGCTCAATATTTTATTTAAAGTATTGGTATTTCTACAGATAAATGGCGATCACACACAAACAGCTTGTGTTCAACAATCAGGCAATAATCCCAGTGTTCATAACTGTGACTTAAAGACCAAACAAGAAACTTCAATAGATCAAACGAACTCATATCAACAATCTCCCATGGATTCTGAAATGAATCCACAACCGATTTCAGCTTCTAGTTGTAAGTATTAATTAAATGTTAATTATAAAATTAGTGTAAAACGTTGAGTTTATAAAAAAATTAAACAGTTAAGGAGAAAACTAATTTTGTTCATAGATTCTAGTAAAAACCATTAGTCACTTTCAGTTTTGCAATATTCTAATTTGCCGGTGTCTTTAATGCTTATTAATACAATTACCAAATGAATTACTCTACTGTATTATCATTACTATTTGCACAATCTGTGACTACTGATAATATCACTGATAACAATTTTTGTATACCTCCGACATTAACCGCAGCAATGCCAGCATTGCTATCCACAGTGCCTATAGCACCAAATGTAAGCAAAGAATCAGAAGCAGCGCCCGTTGCTTCAGTATCTGTAAAGGCACGACTAATATCAGAATCAATACAAAGATGAGACAAATCTCCAAAATGTCTGCTAATCAATCAATTGAATTTGCTATTTTCTTCATTCAAGCACATTATTTAACAAAAAATAGCATACTAATTTGAATGCAGAAGATTGCAGTATTCTCCTTCTATTAGTGTTAGAAGACTCGAGAATGAGAGTGAAAACTTATTCATTGCTGAATCAATCTTTTTTTTGTGGAACTAAACTAATTTGCAGTTCATCTTTTCTTTTCATACAACGACACTTTAATAATCCAATTCACAATTGGTCAATCATAGAGTTTATGAATTTTATTTTAATTAATACGTAGTACAAATGGGCGAGAGTAAGATATCAAATTTGCATATGAAAGTGTGCCACAAATTTACATAATCATTCTATAAAGGCGAAACGCAAAAGCAGCCTAAAAAACGTGGTCGTAAACGTCTAAGCGACGGTACTATTACCACAAAGAAACGAGAAAATGCTAAAAGTATGAAAAATGAAGCGGCGGTTGATGAAAACCTTTCGGCAAAGAAACGTGGACGGAAGCGTAAACGAAAAGCTGAAGCCGATGACATCACTGTCTCTGCAGCTGACAACAGTGCTGACAATAAGGTATAAACTCTATTACATTTCTTAGTACCACAACCATCACGTCAAGGACACGGTAACGATGTAACCCTGTGTGATGCATTTTCTATCTTAAAAGTGCGGTAAATGCATCGCAACTGCGTCATCTACAAATCAGAAAAGGAGATCTCTGCCTCAGACAAAAATTGATGCACACCGTCTGTCAGAATCACACAGCTGAATCAGTGATTAGCACGCAAGATTTGGAAATACTTTATGAATGTTTAAAATAATTAGTACTAGTAGTTTTTGAAAAGCAAAATTTTTCACTTTAAAACAATTTTATGTAAAAGAAGGCAATTAAGTATGTGTATAAGTAAGTAAAACTTAATGAGACAATTCGCTGATTCATATGCAAATTTTTTCGATTGCAATCTTAAATAAATAATATTTCTAGTTTCCTAAAGAGAATTAGTTTTTTTAATAATAAGGTGTATGAAATTTTTAAATATAAATCATTATTAAATACTTGAGGCAATGATTTCTTGCATTACCAGTTAATTTGCATAATTTTTAGTGATTGAAGGTTTTAAATCAATCAGTCTGTGGTTTGATTTTTATAATTGCAGCTTTTTGTTCTAAGATAATAATAATAACAGTAATAATAATAATAATAATAATAAAATAGTAATAATAGTCATAATATTAGTAATGATCACTATATGTGCAAATTTTGAATGGTAACCTTTTCACCTCAATGGGCTTTTTAGCTTGAGCAAGATTCTGTCGTTCAGACAAACGAAAACACCTCTCAAAAAGGTAAACTTTTTCTTTTTAAATAATAAAGTGCATGAAATTTGTAAATATAAATCATAATTAAATACATAAGGCAATGATTCCTTGTATTAATTTGCATAATTCGCAGGATTTAGTTTCATTTGTGTGCTACTATAATGCTTGTTACGTTTGTTGAGATTAAAGGTAAGCAAGCGCCAGCTGACAAGAAGGAAAAGAAGAAACGAGAAAAGAAGAAGAAAGCTAAGAATGAGAGTAACGCAAAAGACGCAAGTGACGCTGCAGTAATCAAAGAGGTTTTATTGAAAAATTATGCACAAGTAAAATGGTTTATCATTATTTTTGGATATTTTTTTATATTTAAAGCTCAGATTATTGCTTTATTGTAATAACATTTAAGCCTGTTCGTAGTAATGCAATATCTGGAAGGTCAGCATCACTTGCTAAAAAGCAGTGCTTACAAGAATTGTTGGATAGCCAGAAAATGCGCACGGATATGGCCTATCCGGTAATGTACAACGAATTTTTTCATTCAAGCTTGAATTTAATTTCAAGTGTGTGTTTTGTTTTCATGTTAAGGAACCTTGGAATAACAAATAATAATTTGCAAAATGACAAGTTTCATTTTTGGTGCACAAAATTATGCTATAAAGTGATGTTTCGTAGTTACTCAAATTAATTAACAATTCATAATTTGTCCATTCTTTAAATATTTGTAGAAATGATTCGCACAATTATACTCATCCAAATTAGTAAGAACAACTATTATTATGATTATATCTCAGAAGGGTACTTTCCTCATTCGATATGCGGATTTGGAAACATTGGATTCTGATCCGATTTGGTGCGTGGATAACCATCACATGCTGATCAAATATCGGCTTTCCAATCATATTGAGGGCAAACATCGTTTATATTTTAAATCTCATCCTGAGCGAGTTAGCAAATTTTGCTATAGAAATTTGTTATACAACAAATGATATTTCATTCTAATAGCACAATTCATGTTTGAATTGCTGAAATTTTTCGTGCATAATTTTATATGCATTGAGGGAAATGTACAAAGATATAATCAAATTTAAAACACAGCCTGATATTTAGCTGAAAGTAATCAAATTTTTTCATACTTTTACTTTAAGAAGATGTAAATTTCGATTGAGAAATACTTATGGAGTTTACAGTTTATTGGTTGGAAGTGTGATGAACCTTGGCACTTTCTCCCGGTAACTGTTATTGAACGCGATCAAGACAGCAATAGGGTGATGGTAATTTATCCTGATGCTAAAGAATTGGCAGAACAGCGTGAGAAAGCTAGAAGACAAAGACAAATTGCTCAAGAATTGAAACGATCTGGTAATTGTCAAGATTCGCATGGGCAGTCGACGAACAAATTGCCTTTTGTGGCTGATGAAGAAGCCGAAGATGGCGTTTTAACGGTAAAAAAAAGCGTACATTATTGCTTGCTGCAAATGTTAATTAAAAAAGTAATTAACAAAATAGATCAAATTTTGCATTACAACTTAATTATGCAGTTTCTTAATAGGCAATAAATATCTTTGCACTTTAGGATAATGAGGACTATGAACTCGAGATGGCGGAAGAGGCAGCAATGGCAATCGAGAACTTCATCATGATTCCAGAAGGTGAGTACGATTCTGATGTAGATGGAGATGCAGAAGAGTTCTATGAGCAAGGCACGGATTACGAGGAAGAAGAACTATAAAGCACATAAAATGATGACAAAAATATTATGTTTGTTGAAATTGTGTTATTTATTCATTGGCATTTTAATGAATAAGTAGTTTAGTAATTGTTTGTTTTTATATTTTTATGCATTTATATACTTCTAGGACTGCATGTATAGGCTATGTATAAATACATAATTTGTTATAATTACTTTTAGTTAGCGAAAATAAAATGTCAAAAATAAAGAAAAAAAATTCGTCTGGCTACCGTAACATTTGCTCAAATATGTCAACTCAAATTTAATACAGTACTAAAATTTGATGCATTTTTTATAACAAGAGCAGAGATATTAGTGAGTGAATCGAAAAAAAGCAGAAAACAGTCAAAGTTTAAAGGTAACGAAATCAATTAAGAGTAAACAAGATTTCATGCAAATATTATGCAGATGAAATGTTTGGTGTCGGCCTTTGTGCCTTAAAACTTGCGTATTTATTATGCGAATATTACATTTAAAGCGATTACAACTGAATTAATAACAGGGTCACACAGTATAAATATTAATAATTAAAATAAAACTTCCGCTTAAGGAAAAATGATTTTTTTAGCCTATCAAACCACTTTAAGTGTAAGTGACTGAATCTTAAGTTACACTTCTGACCAATTTAAGTGTAAGGCCCAATTGTTCATGCTTTTTTTAGAACAGATTGACACCAAAGTGATATATATCTGGTTTGCTTATATTTGTTATATATATATATGATTTGAAGTAATTATAATGAATACATATTTTTTATTCATATTGATTACTTTCTTTAATTAGTTTATAACTTTTATTCAGTATAAATATTTTTGCTTTTTCGATTTATAACATTAAACCTTTTTCTGTCTTCTTCAAAATGCCAAGAAACAACGGCAGTCGACGCTTCTTGTTTCAAACATTGAGCAATTTACAAAGCACAGACTCGCAGTTTCTGTGTACAAAGTAAAGTATTTGTGTACACAATTTGAGGATATAAATTTTATTACATTTGCTAAATTGTTAAATTGCTAATGTAAAGAATTTGTGGAAAAGTATCGCTTCAGAGACAATTTTTTCATATTACAACGATTTTTTGCTGCAAAAGTACTTTTCGTCTTATGTCATTTTTTCCACTTTCCAAAGAGTTAAAAAATTTTAGAGCGAAAATTGATAATAAAACAGTTCGGACTCTCAGTTCTTAAGCAGAAGTGAAAAGTGATTGTTTATTATTTGTTATTTTATCACAAATTTTTTGAATTTTGTTGAGAAAAAAGTGAATTTTAACATTTACGCCATTACTCGCAGTAAACAAGTGATTATTGTATTATTATTTTAGTAATAAAATATTTGGCTGAAAAGGTAAGAGTTATAAATGACGAATTGCAAATCGCTGCTGCGTTAATCTGTTTTTTTGACTTTTTGCAAAATTATTAAACGAGTCGATTATATACAAAAATTGCAGTTAAAAACTGAGCTTAAAAAGATTTACAATATCACTATTTTTGTTTTTTATTTATTGAAGCCAATTGCTTTTTATTTGCGATACTAGTCAAACATTTATTCTTCACTCTTGCAAATACTCACTTATTCAGATGCAAATGAACTTTAGCCTTAACCTTTGACCTTGAATACGATATTTAGATGAGGTATTTCGAACTTATAAACTTTCTAGTTAATTTTTCAGGTAAACAAATGTTTCATGCATTATATATTTTTCTGTGCTGCGCCTTTATTTACAAAAATACATCTGGGTCACCGCTACAATTAAAAACAAACCTATCAAATAATTATAGTTCAAATAAGCT